AATTTTTATATATTATAAATTTATACCTATCTATGTAAAATTTAAAGAACACATCAAGGTAGCTATGTAAATACTGCACCCTGGTGGTGCAGTGCTCAAGTGTTTGGCTGCCAACCAAAAGGCCAGCAGTTTGAATCTACCAGCCACTCCTTGGAAACCCTATGGGGCTGTTCGACCCTGTCCATAGGGTCACTCGACGGCAATGAGTTTTTATGTTAACATAGCACAGTAGTAAACACAATATAATTAGATCCAGGCTACCCTTGTTCAAATCCTGACTCTACACTGCTATTTAGATAAGTCATATGAGTCACTTAACATCTCTGGGTATAAATTTTTTTCTATAAAAGGAGAGTATTAGTTCCTAACCATAGAATTGTGAATATTAAATGTTAGAATATGAGCCAGATAAGTGCTACAAAAGAAACACATCAAACCTAGGCACAGGCAGTCTTTTAACATAAGAAAATATATTTTAGAAATTAATTTTCAGGGGGAAGTAATGGTAAGTGGAGAATTTATTTTCCATGAAAATTGTAGCCCACAACTCATGTTTCCATGCAGAACCCTTTGCTTGTGATTCTGAATATTAAGCTCTGGAAAATGACAGAATGGCCTCCATGGATTTAAAAATAGGAATGATCTTCCTATTCCAGACTCACTGGAATCAAGGGAATTTCTCACTCTTACATCATTATATGTTCCTTTACTTCAATGGATGCAGGCCAAAGTTGATGGATTCGATTCTCAGGCACCTCACTATAATTGTAATATAAAATTTCATTCTATTTATAAGTCAGCTTCTTTTGGTGCTGAATATGAAGGTATTCAACTTACAGTATTTTGTGGTTTCATTACATTGACTGTGTTCATTATAAATTATAATTTTATCAAGATATAATCTTCATTATAGTATTTAGATTTTAAAACTGCATTTTTTGGCTTGTATATTAAGAATAGTTGCTAATGTACTGAATTGTGTGTTCTGTATATCTGTGTATACACGTGTGTAGGTGCATATTTATGTATGTGTGCTTGTGTGTGCACTTATGCTCATTGACCTCACTATGCACACACAGATCTTCCATTGCGCACATGGGAGGCACATAAGACATTTATTTGAAGAGATAACTGAGCCTGCAAAAAGTTTGAATGAAAACACTGCTTATCTGTGTATTTGAATTTTTGTTTAGAATTTTGTAGTTTGATGGAATATGTGTTCCGAAATTTTAACTGTATATATTTTTGAAAACTATTTTCAGGATGAGAAAATAGAAAAATGCTTAACTGAGAGGTGAGAACACAGACAAGAGAAAGGATGTATGTAATGAATCATACAAGGAGAAGGAATAAAACAGAGGGGTAGAAAAATAGAGGGGGAAACAGAGAAAAAGAGAAGAAACTAGGATCATGGGGTTTAAAAGAGGGGGTGTCAGAAAGAGGAATAAGGAAGAAAGGGCCTCAGAGAGATATATGGAAGAGACTCAGAAAGGAAGAAGGAAGATGACACAATGAGAGGAATAAAAAATGGTACTCAGAGAAAGGAATCAGGAAGGACATAGAAAAATACAAAGTAGAAAGCAGAGGAGAAATGAGAAGGAAAATATGAGACACACAGAGTAACAGAATATATGAGAGAGTGTGGAAAAAGCAGTAAGAAAGGGAGGAGAAAATGACAGAGTGAGGGAAGAAACAGCAAAAGGGGAAGAAATACTGAAGAAAAAAAAGAGAAATGGAAGACAGAGGAAAAAAGGGGATAAAAATGTTTGCAGGTGAAATAGAGACCTGAGTCATGGAAGCAGGAAGGGATTTGGCTGGGGAGGGGATCAAAAAGGAGTAATATGGGACAAAGAAAGTGAAGAAGCAAAGAGAGAGAGAGGGTGGGAAATAGCAGGAGAGACAGTGAGCAGAGGATTGGAGAGAGGGAACTAAGAAAGGGGGAGAATAGAAGGGTAGAGAGAGTAAAGTTGAAAGAAAAAAGATGGGGAGTTAGAAGCAAAATGAGGGTGGAGAAAGCGAGGTGAGAAAAGGAGAGGAGAGAACACACGGAGGGAGAATGACAAAAAGCAGAATAAAAAAGTAAGGGAAACACTGAAAAGTTGGAAACAGGGAAACTGGAAAGGTGAGAATCAAAAAGGGGGAGAAAGAATGAGGTGAAGCTAAAAGAATTTAGGAGCAGTGTAGAGAGGGTGTAAGCAGAGGTGGTTGAAGAGGTAGCGGGATACAAAGCAACAAAAACAGAAATGAAACTGGAATAACAAAAAAGAAAAAACAGGGTGAGAAATGAAATGTCTTAAAGGGAAGCCTATTCACTGACTATATTCTAATAAATGTACACATGCTATAAAACTCCCTTTAAACAGTCTTCCCTTCATCCTGAACACTTTGAATTATTTTATCATTATTACCATTCTGCTCAAAATATTTTCTAATTTCCTTTGTGATGGATTGCTTGGCATGTGGGTTATTTAAAGGTGGGAGGATCCAAATGGAAAGGATCCAAATGAATATCAGTTTATGAACAAAATGTGGTGTATCTAAAAAATGGGAGTATTCAGTCATAAAAAACGAATGAAGTACTGATACACACTACACAAAAGACCACATATTGTACGATGAGTTATTACTATTTTTTTAATTTCAAGAATTGACAAATTCATAGAAACGAAACATACATTGGTTGCCAGGCACAGAGGGAGGTGTGGCCCAGTTGCAGTAATGGAGGCAAGAGATAACGATGATGGCAATGAAAATGGCAAAAAGGGGAACAGATTTTTGTACAGATACGAAAGGAACATACTGTGTTCCCTAGATCCTAGCATGAGATTTGCAGGGTAGCAAAGGTCTCCTACCTCCACATTCGATTTCAGTGCATCACCTCGTACCATTCCAGTTTTCTCACTGAACTAAACAAAGTGACACGCTTCCTCATGTTTATACAGAACCTACTTTGTACCTTTCATTGCCCTATGTTTATTTTCACATCACAAAAGACTCAGAAAAGCCCTTCAATTTATGTAGCCTCTAAATTTTTCACTGGAGTAACACACAGAAAAGAAATGTAAATTAAACATATAAATTGGTTTAAAATGTGTGGGTTAAAAATAACAAGATAAATTTTATATTAAGAAAAGGAATTTTAGTTGAAAAAATCATTTAACATATTGCTTAATACTGTAACTTCAAGTTGATATTTTTAAGCCTTTGCAAATTTGCTCTTTACGTAAAATTATATTTATTGTCTGATAAGCACTTCTATACAATAGTTTTCGTGAAGCTGATGTAAAAACATTAGGCATTTTATCTATATAGATTCCACAAGCACTTCCAAAAATCATATTGCACAAAGGGTCCTATGTTTGCAGCAGGAAAGGGCATGTAAGAAGATATTAAAAACCAAACCAGTTGCCATCAAGTCAATTCCTACTCATAGTGACTCCATGTGATTCAGAGTAGAACTGTGCTCCATAGGGTTTTCAATGGCTGTAACCTTTTGAAACTCAGTCGTCAGGCCTTGACTCTGGGTGGAATTGAATTGCCAACATTTCAGTTAGTAGTCAAGTGCTTAAATGTTTCTGCCACCCAGGGACTCCTAGCAAGATATTAGCATGAAGGAAACTGTAGAGCTTCAAGACATTCAGTATTGTAGTAGAGAATCTGACTCCACTTTTTGGTGTTTGACTACTGACAGCTTTTAAGGCTGAGCCCCTTCCTCTTCTCCATCTGCCCCACCATGGGGCAAGCTGATAAAAAAACTCCCTCCCTCTTAGTGCCAGTAGGAAGTTAAAACTACATACAGGTACTCTCACCCCGGTCCCACCTCCTAACCACCATAAAACACAAGCCAGGCTTGTATCCCTGATCTCTCCAGCCATTTCATACCAGCTTGTTAAGCCTGCCCAGCTCACATATAATACACATTCTCATACCCCTTTGGTATGTGGCATCATCATTCTTAACATCCAAACCGAATTTTGTCCCTGGAGTGATCACAAGTTAAAGGAAAATGTTTTGGGGGAATAAAGATACGAAGTTCCTAGTTTATCCACATTGTGTATGCTCATTCTTAAGGGAAATTCACAGTCATCTCTTCATATGATTCCAGTGAGGGTGCCAGGCAGGGGGAAACATATTATTCCTTTCAAAGGAGAGGGAGACCATTTCTTCTCCATTATTACTACCACATTAGTAGTAGCTAGTAAACTATCATTCTGTTCTGAAGAAAATCTGTCTCTCAATTCTCTTAGCCTGCTCTTGTTTCCTGGTCACCCAGTAGAACAATCCTCTTCTGTAACTGACAGTAACCCTCTCTTGTACCAACAAATCTGGAGAAGAGGGACCTGAAGACATTTATTGTAATGATTTTAGAACAGTTTTTTTGTCTATCCTCCAGGTCTTTCCATTTTCTCATTCAAATTTACACCGTATCTTAAATTCAACGTCCTTACTAGTCCCATCCCAGAGACCATCACATCGACACATGAAAGACCTGTGATAAAGGTTCTAAACATCATGCTGAAAGTCAACAAAATAAAGCCTTTTCAAGAACTCTGAAATAGTTGAATAAAAATATTGTCTAAACTGAAAATATTTGGACCTTTCTACAGATGTCCTTGTGATTTTGTCACCTATCATCTCATAAATTTTAAATAACACTGACGTAATTACACTGCAGAATTTATCACATGAAGCTGATTAATCTTCAATGACTAGACGCTTAGTTCTCTGTACTATGAATTCTCTGATGTGTAGTCCATTGTGAAAACTAGATAAATGATTTATGACACTCTAGTGAGTGTCATCACTTGAAATGATTCTCTGTAGTATGCATCCAAAGGTGTGAACATTTGATTAAAAAACACTCATTTGTAAGGTTTCCCTCCAGTATGAATCTTATCCCCAAGGCTTGAGTTTTGGGTAAAAGCAGTGACACATATACTACATTTACAATATTCCATTTCATTATGCGTTTTGTGATGTTTAGTAAGGTTTGCAAAATGGGTAAATGTTTTGCTACATTTGTAAGGTTTCTCTCTAGTATGACTTCTCTTATGATTAAAAAGGCTTGAATGTATGGTAAAGCATTTGCCACACTCATTGTATCTGTAAGGTTTCTCTTTGCTACAAATCACCTGACGATTCCCAGTGTTTTAGCTTTGGATAAAAGCATTGACAGATATATTAGATTTACAAAGTTCCTTTTTAGTATGTATTTTCTGATGTCTAGCAAGGCTCGAAAGATGGCTAAAGGCTTTGCCACACTCATTACATTTGTATAGCTTCTCTCCAGTATGAATTCTCTCATGACCCAAAAGATGTGAGCGTGTGATAAAAGCCTTACCACACTCATTACATTTGTAAGGTTTTTCTCCAGTATGAATTCTCTGGTGAGTCTTGAGGTATGAATTTCCAGTAAAGACCTTGTGACGTACACTACATGTATACAGTTTTTCTCCAGTATGAATTCTCTTATGTTTAATGAAGTCTGAGAAGGAACTAAAGTCTTTGCCACACTCATTACATTTGTGAGGTGTCTCTTTACTATGAATTATCTGATGATACTCAAAGTTTGAGCTGTGGGTAAAAGAACTGACAGATATATTAGATTTACAATGTTCCTTTTCAGTATGTATTTTTCGATGTCTAGTAAGGTTTGAAAGATGGCTAAAGGCTTTGCCACACTCATTACATTTGTAAGGCTTCTCTCCAGTATGAATTCTCTCATGGCTCCAAAGGTGAGAACGTCTGATAAAAGCCTTACCACACTCATTACATTTGTAAGGTTTTTCTCCAGTATGAATTCTTTGGTGAGTCCTGATTTCAGAGAGGCACCTAAAAGCCCTGCTACATACATTACATGCATATGGTTTCTCCCTGGTATGAATTCTCTTATGTTTAATGAAGTCTGAGACGGAATTAAAGTCTTTGCCACACTCATTACATTTGTGAGTTTTCTCTTTACTAGAAATTATTTCATGACCCCCAAGGTTTGAGCTTTGGATAAAAGCACTGACAGATATATTATATTTACAATGCCCCTTTTCAGCAAATATTTTCTTATGTCTAGTAAGGTGTGAAAAATAGGTAAAGGCCTTGCCACATTCATTACATTTGTAGGGTTTCTCTCCAGTATGAATTCTTTGGTGAATCCGGAGATCATACCGCTGCCTAAAGGCCTTGGTACATACAACACATTTATATGGTTTCTCACCAGTATGAACTCTTTGGTGTATCCTGAGTTCATACTGTTGCCTAAAGGCCTTGCCACACTCAATACATTTGTATGGTTTCTCACCAGTGTGAATTTTCTCATGACACCAAAGGTATGAAGGAGTGACAAAAGCCCTACCACATTCATTACATTTGTAAAGACTCACTTCATTATGGAGTCTCTGATGTCGAGTAAGGGAATAATGCAGGGTAAAAGCTTTGCCACACTCATTACATTTGTAAGGTTTCTCTCCAGTATGAATTCTCTCATGACCCAGAAGTTGTGAACGTCTGATAAAAGCCTTATCACACTCATTACATTTATAAGGTTTTTCTCCAATATGAATTCTTTGATGAATCCTCAGGTAAGATCGGAGCCTAAAAGCCTTGCCACATACATTACATGTATATGGTTTCTCTCCAGTATGGGTTTTCTTATGCTTAATCAAGTTTGAGAGGGAATTAAAAGCTTTGCCACACTCATTACATACAGGAGGTTTTGGCCCAGAATGAACTCTCTGATGCTTAGTGAGACTTGAGCTTTGGTTGAAAGGCTTCCCATGTTCACTACGTTTGTAAGATTTTTCTCTAAAGTGTGTTTTCTGGTGTTGTGTAAGCAATGAAGGATCCTTAAAATCCCCCCCACATTTATTGCAAATAGTGAATTCGACACTAGGAGAAATTCTTTGAACTGATGAAACTGGGCAACCATTGTTGACAGACTTCTCAACTTGACTGCATCCATAAATTTTCTCTTCAGTTTGAAATCTCTGCAGTTCAGCCCAATCTGACCGAAAGCTTAATCCAATTCTATTTTCAAAATATTTCATATACTTTTCTCCATGGCCTGTGGTATTTTTTAGTTTTAATAAATTCCTCATAAACTGATTCTCATATTTGTAATACTGACATGAACTTTTTCTTACAGGAACACTCTGCTTTACAGGAAAATTCTCCCAGGATTTGTTATGTTGTTGGTCATTTCTACCAGTTAGGCTGTTTTTATGGGATGTAGTCACTCCTTCATAATTTCTTTCTTTATATCCCCATTGACTCTCAAATTCATGCATATATTCTAGGCCTTCACCACAGTCAAAATTCTCTATACCATGGCTTTCATGCCCTTCAAACATCACTGCTGGGAATAATTCTTCTTTAATAATGTTCTCATTTGGTGATAATTCCTGGAGCATACATCTATATGAGATATCTGAAAAATACAGAGAACCACAAGCTTCCTATTAACTAGAATTGGAAGATGAATATTTTATATTGAGAAACCCATTACACCAAAAGTAATATTTATAATGAACAGTTAACAAACTTACTAGTCACAGTGTTCAAACGTTTAGGAGTGCAAAGGCAATCGGATTCCTCAATAAAGAAAGGATGAATACATGTAATTCAAATTATTTACAGAGAAGACTAGTTTCAAACACTCTATGACCAAACTACTTACAGCATATAAACTTAAGTACTAAAAGAAGAGGTATTTTTCTACTGCCGTTCCAAAGTACTTGGAGTAGAAATATGGCAATCTCATAAAGAGAAATTTATCTTCTTTCAAGGACAAGATTTTAACTACCCTACCCACAATCATATTCCCATAGATTTGTAAGCATAATTTTTCAAAAGGAAACAACAGGCCCGTAGATTCATGTATGCATAACGTGAATGTAATCAATGTCACTGAGTTGTACATTTAGAAATTGTTGAGATGATGTATTTTACGCATATTTTCACCACAGTTAAAAAACCTGATCCCCGTCCCCCCCCCACAAATTATGGTAAATCAAGTTAACAGTATTCTGGGACTAAGTAACTGAATATAAAAAGTATCTTCTCAAGATATTCAAACTTCCCAGTTAAAAAAATCCAATCTATTTAATTGAGAAAAATATACTTTAATAGTAGGTCCTAAGTCAGGTGAGGAGCCCTGGTGGTGCTATGGTTAAGTGTGCAGCTGCTAACCAAAAGGTCAGCAGTTCAAATCCACCAGGCACTCCTTGGAAACCCTATGAGGCAGTTCTATTCTGTCCTATAGGGTCACTATGAGTCGGAATTGACTTGACGGCAATGAGTTTGGTTTTGGTTAAGTCAGGTGAAAATAGAAGTAAAAGAAATAACCAAGACTACCTTTTCACAAAATTTTGAAGGTTCTATAGGTTTCAGGGAACCTACTGCTGAGCCATAACACTTAATACTCAAAAGGGAAATCTTCTTTTAAAATATATAAAACAATATTCATTCCTTGATCCTACAGTCCCACAAATTGCAGATATGAAACAAAAACATTATGAGTGTCATCAAAAATATGTAAGTAATGATTAAAGTACAGGTTCATTTACGAAACATGAAAATTTGCAAGTAGCAGTGGCTTAAACAAAATAAATTGGGGTAGAGTTAAAAAACATACACATCATTCAACTGTACAAGCTCCCTCAATATGATGCGCCAAAATCATATTTTTTGTGCTCGCTTCAGCAGCACATATCCTAAGATCATATTTGTTAAAGGAGAATGAACAATGGCACACACATGGGGTGAACAACGTGGCACGAAGAACAGTTTGGTCAACAGCCTCACAGACGTGAGGTTGTAAACTTGGAAAATGCTCAATTCTTATAGCTGTGACTACCAGCTCAAAGGGAGCAATCAGTATATTTGACTAACACTGTTACACTGCTTTCTCTTTAGAAATGTATATTTCAAAATTAAGTTTCAGAGACAAAAATCATAAAAATTTAGGAGACAATCAGGAAGAATCAAGTTTTTTTGTTTTTGTTTTTACATTCCCAGACTAGACAGACAGCTAGGAGAGGGAGAAAAATTTAACACGTGGGAGTAAAGTAAGAGGGTAAGATTTTGTGGGGTTCTTGCTCTGCCAACAAAAGACTGAGATATGGGATATGGTCTCCATGTAGGACTGGGGTTCAAAGAGAGGATCTGTGTCCACTGTCTTTACAGTACTTCTGAATAACAATCTTAAATGATCCAACCCACTATCCTGTTGCACACATTCCTGAAGTTTGGAATAGCAGAACTGAAGAAATGGCTGAGGTAGCAGACACAGTGTTTGAGACAGCCCCTTGGAATTCGTGGGGCCCCAGATGCAACAGCAATGTTTTCCCATCTGAGAAGGTCTCCCAAGCAGGTGAAATGGGAATGGAACCTGGATATGTCCTGGGGTCAGGACTACAGAGGCCTCATTCTGAGCTGTATGAACTGAGAAGTGAGGATCAGACAGAATCAAGCACAGAAGGAGAAACCAAAGGGCAAGAGGACCCCTTTGAAATAGCCTTTCCTGCCCCTCTCAAAGCCAAGGAACCAAAGAGTTCACAGGGACCAGATCATAGCATGTTGGAGGTCACAATAATCACTTTTTGCCTTCATATCTGCTTGAGCTGGAACACCACTGGAGTTGAAAGTTACATGTGTGAAGAACAGAATGATAAGTGGAAGGGAAAAAAAATTTCCTTTGAGAGCTCACAAGAAATAAACTTTTGCTTTCCCATATATCTCTCCCATTTGGGGAGTTTCCCAAAGATTATTTAATGGATTCACTTCCTCTCTGCCCATGTGAACTCTTACCTGTTTTCATACCTCTGATACATTCCCAGGCATTTGTTTCTTTCTTTTTCTATTTTTGCTATTTTCATTTCCACAGTCCAGGGTTCTTTCCCTTGCTCCAAAATGGAGATAATACTCAGGTCAGAAAGAAAGACTCTTGATTATAATAAAGAAGGAACATGATGTGCTGTGACTTTCCAGATAGAATCCAAGCCCTTTGTTCAGCTGGGAAAAGAGGACGTTACCGATGGGTCTATAACACTATCTCACAAATTAGTCTACTGCCTCCTTGTAAATACATAAGAAATATTTTAAATATGTAGGTATCTGGCTCTCTCCCAACAATCAAAACACAGGGGTAAAACCAGGAAAGCAGATATTTTAACATTTGCCATAATGTTTTGTGCTTACTCAAGCTCTGATTTAGCATGAAGTAGGCAGAACATCTGAAGAAACAGGAAGGCTAAAGTTCAGATGCTGTATTAAGAAGCTTTTCATTTCTGAATCAACTTCAATCTCTACGTAAAGAACAGGGATGTGAAACTACATCAAGCAAGGAAGACTCCCAAAGGAAAATACAAAGATACAGAAGGGTAGATACCAACTTACGGGCGAAGTTATGCTCACCCAGGGAGATCAGGTTCCTGTAGTTCTCCAACATCACGTCCTTATACAAAGCCCTCTGAGCAGGGTCCAGGCATTCCCACTCCTCCTGAGAGAATTCTATGGCCACATCTCTGAATGTCAACAGTTCCTGTAATGAAAGACACATTTCACTAAGTGGACATGTGTGGTGTTCTTATTTTCATGCAAAATGAGAGAACAGCAGAGGTACAACGATCAGTTTGATAAAGCATTTTGACAGACCTGCCTAAGAAAATTCTGAGCAAGTTATATCTCTGTAATTGTATTTTATTATACTTTTCCAGTAAAGGATATGAAATCCACTAAATCATTGTGGATTTCATATTTTTGTGAACAACAAAAGAATTATACAAATAAATTCGACAGAGTCATCTATATAGAAGTGTTAGATGTTATGTTCTGTACAGCAAGTGACTGAGTTTCTCAAATGGGCTACAGCAAGATGATGTCTTCAGGGATGACAAAGTCCACTGTGGCTTTAAAGAAACGTCAGAATAAAAAAATTGCAATGGTGCTAATAACAGCAACGACTAAAATTTTTTGAACATTAATGTGCTAAGCTTTACCCTAAATGCTTTGTATGTATTAAATCATATAATGACATAACAGCCCAACAGAGAAAGATCTGTTCACATCTTACACAGGAGACAACCGTATTACAGACATTGTAAGACACTCAAACAGCTAATAAGTTACAGACTCAGCAACTGAATCCAGGTGGTCAAGTTTTAGAATTAAATCTAAAAAATCAGTTAAGTAACAGATACAGCATTAAAAGTATGCTACTATTTCCAAACTGACAAAACTTAAAACAAGTTCAAGCCCAACAATAGGAAGCTGGAAAAAAAGGTCATTATATATGTGCATACAAATACGTACACATAATTCGTTACCATTCTTACTATTATTAGCTCATTGCCACTATGGTGTAGACAAAAATCATTGTTAGGTGCCGTCAAGTTGTTTTTGACTCAGTAACCTCATGTGACAGAGTAGAATTGCCTCATAGGGTTTTCTTGACTGCAATCTCTGTGGGGGCAGACTGCCAGGTGTTTGTCCTGGAGGGCCTCTGGGTGGGCTCAAACCACCAACCTTTTGGTTAGCAGCTAAGCACTCAACGATTTGTACCACCAGGGCTCCTTAGACAAAAATGAGGATGAAGAAAGACATTTAAGACATATTTTCAACTATTAAAAACTGTAAAACTAATTTATGAAATGCTGATGTGTCTTTGGTAAATCCCACAGGACTGCACATACATGCATGTACGCACACACATACCACGAAAAGTGAATCGAAATAATAGGAGTTGTCTTTGAATAACGTATTTTTCATATAATTTTTCATTATTTTTTATTTTTGCTCAAGTGCATTTCAGCATTTGTGGTACAATGAAAACGTATAAATCATACAATTTAGTCTGTTATCACTATTTTATATTAGATCACAAAAAAATGCAAAAATGAAAACCATACCAAAACCTTTAACTCCTGTCTCTATTAATATACATACAGGTAGTCCCTGACTTATGACAGGGTTCTGTTCCAACAACTCCATTGTAAATGGGCTCTGATGTAAGTCAAATACCTTTTTTTTTTTTTTTTAGTTTTCATTACTATTGCCTTTTAGTATCTTTATAAATTCAATCATTATCTGTCTTTGGGGGCTGGAAACATTACATATAAATTTACATACATATTTTAATACATACATACATATTACTAATGATAAGATGTAAAAAAAACATACGGTGGCAAGTGCAGTTTGTCATAACTTGAATACATTGTAAGTCGGGAATTAAGCTGTGGACTACCTGTATGCAAAAATGTAAATACAACTGTATCCATTTTTGAGAAGAAAAACAAAACGGAGGCGCTTTCCAAACTACATATGAATCTACTACTATTATTATACTATCTAAAAATGTAAAATGAACAAAATAAAATAGCTATAAGTATATGCAAAAATCCAAATTAAAGAGATGTAAAAGTAATATTAAACAATAAAACATTAGAAGTTAAGCATAGCATAATATTCTGTAGTCATTAATAAGTGAGACTTTCCAAAGTAAGATAAAAAAAAATATGGTATGAAGGAAATATTTGCTTCATTATTCAATTAAAATAGATACCAAACTCCAAACCCACTGCTGTCGAGTCAATTCCAACTCATAATGACCCATTTGGTTTCCAAGGCTGTAAATCTTTACGGAAACAAGACTGTCATATCTTTCTCCTGCCAAGCAGCTGGTGGTTTTGAACTGCCGACCTTTCGGTTAGCAGTCCATAGCTTTAACCACTGTGCCACCAGGGCTCCTAAAATAGATGCCAGGACATACATAAAAAATTAAACTACAGATTGAAGCTCCCAAAATGCCTTAAAAGAAAACCAAGCAAAGTATGCAAATCCATTTTATATATACATGTCCACAAAGCAGTAACTTACTCAGACTCACAAGTAGTTGGAAAATGGAAACACAAAGAGTTGTCATTTTCCTCAGATTTTTAAAATATGCAAAAAACATAGTACCAAGATTTACTTAAATCAGAGGAAACCTTGAGCCCTGGTGGCACAGTGGTTAAGGGCTTGGCTGCTAACCAAAAGGTCGGCAATTCAAATCCACCAGCAGCTCCTTCAAAACCCTGTGGGGTAGTTCTACTCCATCCTATAGTGTTGCTATGAGTCGGAATTGACTCAATGGCAATGGGTTTAAGGTTTGGTGTTTGGTTTTGGAGGAAGGGGAGGGATATCTTGTCAAAATCTATCAAAATATGAAATGCACCATCCTTGAAGTCACAATCAACTTGCACACTCCCATGGAACCCTCAGACATCTGCACAGAAGTCAGTGTATCAGAGGCAGGAGGCAGGCACTGCAACATTCTTTATAGCAGCAGAAAACCATAAAGGTCTTGTCATGGATTGAATTCTGTCACCCAAAAATGTGCACTGTAAATCCTAACCCCTACACCTGTGGTTATAATCACATTTGGGAATACTGTTTTCTTTGTTATGTTAATGAGGTAGTATTAGTATAGGATGTGTCTTAAATCAATCTCTTTTTAGCTATAAAAGAGCAGAATAAGCAAGCAGCAAGAGAGCACAGATGGGGGGAGGTAGATGCCAGGTCACATGAAGATCACCAAGGAACAGAAGCTGAAAAGAGACGACCTTCCTCCAGAGCCAACAGAGAGAGAAAGCCTTCTCCTAGAGCTGGCGCCCTGAGTTTGGACTTCCAGCCTCCTAAAACTGTGAAAAATAAATTTCTGTTCATTAAAGCCACCCACCTGTTCATGGTATTTCTGATATAGTAGCACTAGATAACTAAGAGAGGCCCCATATGTCTTCATTAAGAGAATGCTCTACTGAGGATCTAAAAGAGCAAGCTAGCTCTATATTTGTAACGTGAAAGCGACTCTAAGACACAGGGTGTGAACATTTTTAAAAACTGCAGAATAAAATATCACAACAAAACGTTCACTAGTTTTTTTTTTTTCCCCTAAAATTATACAATGTATAAATGCATTTAACAAGACTTGCACTGACTACTGACACATAACTGGCAAAAGCGGTTCTGGATGAAGGTGGTGAGTGATGGTGGAGGGCGTGACAGGGAAGAAAGTGTTTTACTTCTTAGTCCCTCCTATGTGGAGTTTTACAATAAAATAAATGTATCTACCATGTGATGTTTAGAATAACATATTTAACAATGGTGGAATGAGAATGTGGCTCCACCCTCTCTGATGACAAAGAAAGTTCTGTTCCTAGGTCTCGGCTAAATTGAAAACATTTTTACCGAAAATGTCCCTGAGCAAACACCACAGACTCCATGGCATAGATGTGCTATGAATGATTTAAAGAAGCTCCTACTTTTAGACATTTAGGTTCACTTAATATTTTAAAACCAATTATGGATTAAACATCCTCTATCACTGATGTCTATTTCTGAACTTCCCATTCCATTCTAAACTATTAATATTTTGGAGCCAGAGACACACTGATTCATTTGTTTAGCTTCAGATGTATTATAAAATCAAGCAGAGGAGGTTTCTCGTTATAAGACTTCTTTTCCAGAATTTTCAGCTGTTCCCGCAGATTAATAACAGCACATAAATGTGAAGTTTCTTTAATGCTGGTCCACAGAGAGCTGACAAGGTAAATGAATAATTTCTAAGGGTCAGCACAAAGCTGGTTCCTATAAGGCAGAGGTTAAAGATGTCCCAAATGTCCCAGTTTTCCAAACTGCTTTACCACTCCATCATCTCTAACATCAACTACCCCTCCTCCCCTCAGTACCCTCCCTCTCATCTTCTGGGTTCTGTAATTCCCTTCAATGTCTCACAGAACTCAAGAACCGTACTTACAGTTAAGTGGTTTATTAGTGGATTAACGGTATAACTCGGGATCAGGATTAATTTGTAAGTAACAGGAACAACAGCTCAGGATGCAATTCCTTGATACGGATAGCTTCTTCTCGCCCTCTGCTGCTGGACCCTGCTGGGGGCCTTCTTGGGCAAGTGTTACATCTCTCAGCTCCATGGGTCGGCAAGCCCCACTCCAGCTGTCTTGTGCTGCTGTCTCTGTCCTCTTGAGCTAGGAGATTCTCAGTGCAGGCATCCCGGGTCCACAGGACATGCTCCACTCCAGGGTCTTCCTTCTTGATAATCATGAGGTGTCCCCTTCCCACCTCTGGGATGGCTCATTTTAAGCCTAGTGGGATGGCAAAACTGACCAATCCCCTCATTAGGATTCCATATACCTTATGTGCATAGTCCCACTCCCCAAAGGTGCCATGCATCTTATTGACATTATTAGCAAGCTATCCAATCCCCTTGGTGGGCCACAATCATCTCATTTGCATACACTCACCAGGTCATTTGGTGAGACTTACAAAGACTATGGCTAGAAGGGCCATATTAAGTAATTCACTGCACCACACAAGGCATCCAGATGCCCTAAACCCTCCCTGTTGTCCACCCTCACTGCCCCCACGAGGCACACTCCCTGTTCCCACCCAGGCCTGTTGTGAAGCCCTTCCCATGACACCCCCCAAATGGAGCCTCTTCACAAGTCCCACATCCTGGGTCGTGGGGAAATGGAATCTGTGTGGAGGTTAGAAGGAACGGAAGGAAGGCCAATGATGAGTATAAGTGAACACGTAAGGTAGGACATGTTTGTCAGAGGAGACGAGCAAAGTCTCATGACAGCATTTCAGGAAGGAAAGGACAGAGCCACCAACAGAGAATATAACTGTTACCTGGGAAAGAGCCATTCTGGATGCCTCTTTTTTCCTTCCTCCACCTGGCTTCATTCTCAGGTAAGATCAGTCTTGAAAAGTCAATCCTGAGTGTGGAAAATATGCTGTTAAATGGTCAGAATCAACATACCCAATTTCCCATGCCACAACCACAGACAAGGGAGAACCTTATTTGGGGAAAGACGGTCCCTGCTGCCACACTGCCCAGGAGGGACTAAGAGACAATAACCACCTACATGGGGACCAACAGGTGAGTTTATCACCCTCCCCTCCTGGTGAAGTCCAAACTACGCTGCACCAGAGGGATCTGGGCTGGATTGACCCCCCGCTTCAGGTCCCAGATGGGCCCTGACACCACACCCCATGCAGACCAGAGCCCCTCACCTCATTTTTATTGGGTTTCTGTTACAGCAGCACTAGGAAACTAAGACATTCCTTCTGGGGGCCTCTAAGGGTTCCCCTCCACTTTCCCCACCTATCCCTGGTGCATGTGCGTGCAGACTGGGCTCAAGGGCCTCTGGGCACAGGCGCCACAGCCAGAATGGAAATAAACAACAACAATGAGCCTTCAGTATGAACAACAAGTAGGCATGGCTGGGAAAACTTGCCAGCAACTGGGGATGTTACAAAGGCCAATTTTAAAGGCAGCTGAGAGTTGACTGGACAGACTTCAGCGAGGAAGTCACAGAGTGAAAGGCCCAGGATCTTTTTGGAGAGGCCATCATTATCCTTTCCTCTCCCCACTTACACATAGTAAATAGCAAGACTCCTTAGCTTTTGAACACTGAGCTTCCGTTACAAAAAAAAACAAAAAACAAATCTGTTGCCACCAAGTCAATTTCAACTCATGGGAACTTCACGTGTTACAGAGTAGAACTGAGCTCTATAGGGTTTTCTTGTCTGTAATCTTCATGGAAGCGGACTGCCAGGCCTTTCTTTCATGGCACTGCTCAGTGGGTTTGAACTGTCAACCTTTAGTTTAGTAGTTGAATGCAAACAGTTTGTGCAGCCCAGGGAATGAGCTTCTGTTAAGGGTTACAGAAAAGTTCGGGACTAGTAATGGTGAGAGTTGAACAACATGATGAACGTAATTAGTGTTACTGAATCGTACAAGTGAAGACTGTTGAAATGGCAAATATTTTGTTACATATATATTTACCAAAATAAAAAAAGAATCCCTAGCTTTTTATCAGGTGCCTCCTTCCTGCCCTCTTAGGCTCCTGACTTTCTCCAGCCTCCTCCTGAAGGCATACTAGGATCTCTGATTCTGAGCAGATCACCTGGTGGAAGGTGAAGCCCGTCAGACATAATAGCTAGTCTCTGATGTGCAGAAAACGGAAGACTTGGGAGCTGGGGGAGGGCAGTGACACTGCAGGCGGAACATGGTGACATCCTCACACTGTGAGGATCCCAGGTCTGCAGGGTTTGTAGGACTCAGGGCAGCCTTCTGATTTAATTTGGAGTCAGATAAATAACCACAGGAAATTTAAATCAATTACAGCTAAAATTTCCATTACATGGGACCCATCTTCATCACCTGTTCTAGCCCCTTGGTTTTCCATGAGGACAACTCAGCCCATCCCCCAGCCTTAGCATCTGAACACAGCCCCCAAAGTAAGATGCCACAGCCGTGTGGTGAACAAGATGAAGACTGAGAGCAAGGTGGAGACTGTGAACAAGGTGGAGACTGAAAAAGATGGAGACTGTGCCTCCTCCAATGGAGAGAAAACAGAAAAAAAACTTAAAATAACCAATGGAAAATATTTCTGATATGGGTAATTGAACTGGAGACAATAAAACCTGGGTAACCTGATAGAGACTGACTGGTGGAGAGAACTTTACATAGTATGTGTAGGGGAAGGAAGGATCATCTCTGAGACTGGACCTGAAGCAGGATAAAGAGCCAGAGCTAGGATGACACAGGGACAAAGGTAAGAGCAAGAACAAAGACCTGACACAGAACAGGTTTTGGTGTTTGGGAGCAGAGAAAAGGCAATGTGACTGGGGCAGAGTGAGTCATGGGAAGAGGGTAAGCTCCCAGGATGAGGGAGACACAGGCAGACCCCCAGTATACAGGCCTCAGTGAGGAGTCTGGATTTTGTCCTGAGGGCAATGGGAAGCCATGGAGTGTTCCAACATGGAGTAATGTGATCTCATTTCAGATTTATCTCTGATGAATAAAGAGACCTCTGACAGATGGTCTCTATCTCTGAGCCAATGCCCCTGCCTCCACCCTACTGTTTTTGTTATTTTTTTCTCTCATTTTTTGAAGGACTGGGACCCACTTAGGGCCTCTGGGTGGTACAAACATTTAAATGGTCAGCTGCTAACTAAAAAGTTGGTGGTTGAAACTCACCCAGAGACATCTTGGAAGAAAGGCCTGGCAATATGCTTCCAAAAGGTCAGCCATGAAAACCCTACAGAGCAGTTCTATTGTGACACACGAGGCCACTATGAGTGGACTCAAGGGCTACAGGTTTGGTTTGTTTTTTTTTTTTGTTTTTGGTTGAGACCCAATTAAGATTCTATTATAAATGGTCACTTAGAAGGACTGCCACACACAGACACATTCAATTTTTACCATCATTTCAGGAATCACTGTTGCTTAGATTCAGAATTCCTGGTGCAGCCCATACCTCCATGTTGTAGTTGGGCAGATTAAGGCCCAAAGGGAGGGTCATTTCACCAAGTTATCCTCAGAAGATCTGAGTAAGCAGAGCTGGGTGTAACTGAATTTTGAAATGGTGGCCTGGATGGAGCAGTGGGCAAAGTTGGTCCTTATCACTCTTCCCCTTAAAAATTCCAGGACCTTGTTGGGCTGGCGTATGTTTTGTTATGTATATTTTCACAGTGACAACAACAAAAAAATATTCCAGGGCCATTCTTCATATGCCTAAGAGCAATTTCCTTTTCATGGTTTTAATCACATTGCTCCCAAGCAATTAATTCCTCATTGCTAGAAAATCACAATTAAATATAAAAAAAGAAAAATATAAAATTACAAACACATAGTTACTGGCGTTAAATACATTAAAAGAGGGTCAGCTATGGAGATAATCTCTGAGCAAATTTCTTCATTGTGAATAGATTGGCTCTGTTGGAAAAAGGTTCCAAGGGAATCCAGGCCACCCTGCAACATTTGTACAGAAAGGACCAGAGGGACTTGAGGGGAACAACTACTCAGTAGCTCACAGCTCACTATTTTAACAGATAACATACAGGAAGAAAACCAAATATTAGACTAACTGGTTAATACAAAAAAAATTGTTAATATAAAAAATATTGACATCCTTTCCAAATGCACATTGAAAGAGTCTAAATTTATTTACTAGGTATCAAAGAATGTTTCTAAAGGGTTGAAAAGCAAAAGATGTCACCCTGAAGACTAAAGTGCGCCTGACCCAAGCCATGGTGTTTTCAGTCGCTTCCTATGCATGTGAAAGCTGGACAATGAATAAAGAAGACCAAAGAATTAATGCCTTTGAAACGTGGTGTTGGAGAAGAATATTGAATATACCATGGACTGCCAAAAGAACAAACACGAAGTAGAGCCAGAATGCTGTTTAGAAGCAAAGATAGAGAGACAATGTCTCGCATACTTTGGGTATGTTGTCAGGAGGGATCATCAGTCCCTGGAGAAGGACATCATGCTTAGTAAAGCAGAGGGTCAGCAAAAAAGAGGAAGACCCGCAATGAGATGGTTTGACACAGTGGCTGCAACAATGGGCTTAAGCATAACAACGATTGTGAGGATGGGCAGTGTTTCGTTCTGTTGTACATAGGGTCACTATGAGTTGGAACTGACTAAATGGCACCTAACAACAACAAAGAATGTTTCTAATAAATGAAAAAGAATAGAAAGCATGCAGGCCTCATAATAGGAACTGGACACAATAAGCTTTACAAGGAAACCCACTGAGAAATTAAAATCTAAACAATCCTGGGGTCAGTATTTAAAAAAAAAACTGAAAATATATCATATTCAGAAAAGAATGGCATGAGCATCTGATTACAGGATGCTGCCAAAGCTTATTTCAGAAGTTGATGATTATTTACAGAATAAAGCTGAAATTCAATAAATTAAGATTTGTCAAATAAGCTTGAAAGAGAATAATGAATTAAGATAAAAGTAAATCCACACACACAAAGTAAACCTCAGATTTATAATGTTCTTTTTATAAGGCACCATGTAGCGACAGAAAACCAGTAATATCTTGCCCCATTTCACCCCTCTAACCCTACTCCATCCCAGGAAAAGGGCAGGGATGACCCAAAATTGACTGAGACAAGTCACTGCCGTCTGGCTTAATAGCAGTTGTGATGGAAGTCATCTTCTGATGCAAATAATGATAAAATGCACAATTCTTATAGACAGTTTTGTAATTCTCATCTGTATGATTTAAGCAAATTTTAAATTAGATTATAAAGGCACTAATCAATACATCATAATTTAATCATCCGTAAAACGATCAACTCCCCACTCACCTGGATCCGGGTTCCTCTCCTCCTGCACTGCTATGTGTCTCCCTCTCTCTGTGCGTCTTTCTGTCTCACTCCTTCTTTTCTCTCCTCTCTGTTTCTCATCTCCTTCCCCACTCTTTACTCCTCTATTTCTCCCCTTCTCTGCCCTGTTTCACCTCCTGTTGCTCTTTCCTCTAACCTCTCTGATTGTCCCCCATCTGTTTCCCCACAGCTCTCCCTGTTATACATCCCCTCTACCCCCACTCTCTAGTACCCCTAACTTGCTGAGTTCCCTCTCTGCTGGTCCTCCTGCACCCTACACGTGCACAGGGATGGAATGAGATGTCCGCTGCCCGGGAAGAGTACACATTCCACGCAGTGGGAGGGACTGGGGATGGAAGAACATGGGGTGTCACAGGACACACCTGGATCCCCTCTCCCGACACGGAGGTCAGGGAGGAAGCGGTGACGGCCAAGGCGGGGGGGGGGGGGGGCGGGACCTGGCCTGAGGAAGACGCGAGGACCGACTCTCAGGAGAGGTGGGGTCTCAGAGTCCCACGACCAGGGAGAGGACGCGGGGCTGGCGCCGGCATTCAGGGGCGATACTAGTGTGTGGGGTGGAGGACGACTGTCGCGAATCAATCTCCCGGTGAGGACTCTACCCGGCGCAAGGCGGGCGGGGGTCAGGGAAAGGTTTTAAACAGTAAAACAACTCAGTAGGTGGTGTTTACACCTCTGGAAGGCACAAAGGCCGCGGCGGGGCCCCGCCTCAGCGCGATTTTAAACCGAAACCAAAGCGGATCCCCGGCCGTCGGAAGGCCGACACATCTCAAGGCAGCGCCAGGATTTGCGGGGGTGGGAAGAGCAGGTACGGGGATTTTAATGTCCGGAGAGACCCCCACCCCCACCCCCATCCACCTGGGCCGGATCTGGAGGACTGAGTTCGCGAAGAGCAGATTTAAACCAGAAAGAAATAAAGTTACCTCAGGGTGCCCTTGTTTCTCCGTCGCTGCAGTAAACTACGCAGGCGCGCGGCGGAGTGAGCCCAGTGGCTTGGGGGCAAGGCCAATCGGCAAGGGGCGGGGCAAGGAGATGGGCCACGCCTGGGCAGGGAACAAAGGCGGGTGGTGAGGGGGACCGGGCTGGGCCTGCTTCCCGGAGTCGCCCTCCCTGGGCGTCTCTATTTTCCAGGTTTGGAAACTTTTGAATCTCATTAGTGTCATGTGGAGACGTGTGGCTCTCTGCCTATTTTAACTGAATGTTTTTCACAGTTGAAGGTAAAAGCTTCTGGTTGTGTGGGCCACTTATGTTGAAAGCTGCGATGTTTTCCTCTTAACAGGTTGAAAATGTTTTAAGTCGAAACTATTTTTGTTAGCCGGTGGAGGGGTGGAGACTGGCGAGTAATAAGTGAGGCACCGTTGGGGCGCTGAGACCTCGGTGTGGGGGGGTCCATGTGTGGATGTGGTTGGATCTAGGAGTGTCTCCTGCAGTTAAATTTAATGTAAGCCGTTTAATTAAGAAAGCACTGGAGCTGTCTCCGTAGAGGACGCATACTGAAATGTGAAATGCAAAACTGTGCCTGTGCGAATGTGCAGTTTCATCCTGTCACCCGATCAGTGCATCATTTCCATTTCTATCTCTCATGCAACTAGGAGGCGAGACTCACCTTGTGCTCAGTTCTTGAGGCTTCCTAAGACAAGACCTGGGGTGTGCTGCCTGGCCGGCTAAGGCATGGGATAATTTATATCTCCAACTGTTGCTTAAAAAGTAGCAATAATTTTTTTTCGGTTCCTAACTCTTCTCTCTCACAAGTCACTGATCTGTATGTGTATATATATATTTGGAGTCATTTTCCTCTCTAGGTTTCATTTTGGATAGTTTCTATTATATTTTCAAGTTTACTAATTGTTTCTTTTACTATGTCTGCTCTGCCATTAATCTTAATAGCATTTTTTCATCTCTGATACTACAGGTTTCTTCCCTAGAAGTTTGAGTCTTTTATATCTTCCATATCTCTACCTAATGTGTTCAATCTATTTGCTAACTTTTGAAAAAATGAGATTCAGATATAATTGTTTTAATGTATTTTCTACTAATTTTTATATCAGTTATGTGTAAGGGCAATAACTTTAAAAATAGGTATAAATTGAGTTTTCTTCTTCATACTTGTTATTCTAATCCACACTTGAGATGAATGATAAAGTCAAATACCTTTGAGATAAACTTTGTTGACATAATTTGCATAAATCATTAATTTCTAATGATTTTAGTGTAATTTGAAATTCACTTTACCTTTATTCTGAGAGTAACTAGAAAGTGCGCTTTTTATTTAAAAATTGTTGTATGTTTTACCTATTTTCTTTGTTTTCTATTTCAAAATATACTGTCAGGTGTGGGTAACAAAGCTTGTTAAATATATACTCTTTAGAAGACATTTGGATTCATTTTCACCTGAAGAATAATTAATTTTGCAGTATTTCTAAGGGCATTTGATAGGAGGGTCTGTTCTCTTTTATATGAACCCTAAAGAAAGTTAAAACTAGATTATCAATTCCCAATAGCCTCTGTCATGGATTGAATTGTGTCCCCCAAAAAATGTTTGTAGCCATTTGGCTAGGTCATGATTCCTAGTATTGTATGATTGTGTTATCTGATGTGATTTTCTTGTGTGTTGTAAACTCTACCACTATGATGAGATTATATGTGATCTCCTCATGTGTTGTAAATTCTATCACTGTGATGAGGTTATACAGATGAGGCTGACAAGATCAGTGTCTTAATGCAATCTCTTGAGATATAAAAGAGAAGCAAGCAGAGACACATGGGAACCTCATACCACCAAGAAGGCAGTGATGGGAGCAGAGTGTGCCCTTTGGATCAGAGGTTCCTGCGCAGAGAAGCTCCCAGACCAAAGGAAGATTGATGACACAGACGTTCAGAGCCAATGGAGAAAGCGTTCCCCTGGAGTTGATGCCCTGAATTTGGACTAGTAGCCTACTGGACTGTGAGAGAATAAACTTCTCTTTGCTAAAGCCATCCACTTGTATTTCTGTTGGAGCAGCACTAGATGACTGAGACAGCCTCGTTTCTACTCTCCGTAGTTTTTAAGGCATTATCTGTGAGTTACCATCTACTATGATGTATGCGTTTTTCTCAAATCCCTATATGTGGGAGATTTTTTTTCCAGTTAGAATTATTTGATGACACTTTTGGATCTAAAAGCTTGTTCACACATGATGCACTTATAAGGTCTCACTGCAGTGTACATTTTGGGATGTTTCATAAGCTTTAAGCATTGGTTGCAGTCTTTGTGATGTTCATCACATTTAAATTATCTGGTATTAGTAAGGCTTGGGAGTCCTGGTGGCGCGGTGGTTAGGAACTTGGTTGCTAATCAAAAGGTCAGCAGTCCAAATCCACCAGCCGTTCCTTGGAAACCATATAGGGTGGTTCTGCTCTGTCCTATACGGTCACTATGAGGCGGAATTGACTCAATGGCAATGGGTTTGGTTTGGTTTTTCAGTAAGGTTTGAGCATCATTAAAGGTTTTGCCACAGCCATAAAATTTGTAAGATTTAATTCCAAAATTAATATTCTGATGATACCCAAGGGTTGAATTTTGGATGATATCCTTGCCACACATATTTTTAAGGTTTCTCTCAGGTATTTACTTTCTGATGTTCAGTAAAGCCTGACTGTTGTTGAAATACTGTAAAAATGATGCCAACTGTAAACATGGCATGGCAGAGGCATCTGACCTTCTCTAACTTCACAAGGGGGGAATAAGAATCAAGATCAGCCCAGGCTGATTCCTATGAGGCGGAAGTCAAACATACCTCCACCCTCCACCTTTTTTACCAATTCTGACACCAGCTGTCCCTCCCATGGCACTCTCTACTCTGCTGGGTTCGACAAGTCATTGCAATGGCCACACAGAACTCACAGACCATACTTACAGTTATGGGGTACATTAGGGAAGTAACAAGTTACAATTCAGGATCAGGGACAATTCAGGATATAGCTCTTCAGTCAGGACAGCTCTTCTCAGCCATGCTTGCAGGTAGGCCTCTCTCTGGCCTTCGGCCTGGCCTCTGCCCTGCTCTGGCAAGTGTTACAAAGCTCTTTAGCTCTGCCAGTAAGTGCCTGGAGCCACCTCACTCTGCCAATAAGCTTTGGCCTGAAGGCACTTAGCTGTCTCACTCATGGGGCGGCAAGCCTAGCTCTGCTGACAAGTGCCTGGAGGCACCTCACTTAACCAGCAGGTCTCCTGCCCGAAGATGCTCAGCTCTCTCACTCTGTGGGCCAGGAAGCCCACCATGTCATCTCCTGCCAGTCTCCTGGTTCTGCTGCCTCTGCTGCCGTTTCTCTGCCACTGCTTCTCGCCCTTTCTGTCTCCAGAGTTACAGCGCTTCTGTCTGTCTCCCTTTAAGCCTAGCAAGATGGCAAAACTGACTAATGCCCTCATTAGGGTTCCATACACCTTACTGTGGAACCCACAGGGTGCCATGCATATTTACATTATTAGCAATCTGCCCAATCCTCTTGCTGGGCCGGAAGCACCTCATTTGCGTAGTTCCACCCGGTCATTTGGGGGGAGTTACAAGACCATGGCAAGAAAGGCTATATAAAAGTGATCCATTGTACTGCAAATACATTGCCCCACTCAGGATAATTTTAAGATCTCCCCCAGTAGAATTTTCTAAAGATTAATCTGGATTCACTCTGTCTAAAGACCTTCCCCAATTCATTACAGTAATGTGTTCTCTAATATATGTTTTTTCATATTTTTTATCAATGAAAAATCAGTCAAAACTCTCCCATATGTATTTTAAATGTTAATTTTTGACACTAGAAGGGATTGTCTCAAGTTGTGAAACTGAGGAACCATTTTGATAGATCTTTTACTTGATTACATTTATAGAATGCACCTTCAGTTTGAAATCTTTACAGTTCAGACAGATGTGACTGAAAGCTTAATGCAGTCTTATTTTCAAATCATTCCATACATTTGTTCCTTCATAGATAATGCTGATTTTGAATTTTATCAAAGGTTTAAGAAATGTCCTCTGCTTGTACTCTTGATTTGTTCTTTCCCTTACTGTTGTGTAAAAGAAACTGACCTCAGGTGGAAATTATTTGAGGATTTTTTATGTTCTGAGTCTTTTCTCCTAATGAGTTTTGTTATAGGTCATTACTTGGTAATTTCTTTCAACATGGCTCTGCCACTTCTCAAACTGACTTTTGTTGCCCCATTCTTCCCTGAAGTAAAAATTATTGAAGCAAGACCTTGGGTGTGTCTTTACAAGATCATTGATTGAAATGCTTCTCTCATCAGTGCCCTCAAAAGAGGATAAGTTCTTGGTCTCAAATGTAGTTGAGATATTTGAAATATACAAATAAAAAGAAAATCTGGTCTTTTATTATGTATTCTTGGAGAAATGAATGGCGCATATTGAAAAGCTCATATTATACCAAATGTAATACATGTTATGAGCACGGAGTTATGAAACTTCCTGATCATTACCTTCAAACCAAAAATATGTTTCAGGAACATAAAGGCAATGGGATCCTCAATAAAGAGAGGGTTAATTATGCATTACATTCAACACAAACTATTTTCATGGTCAACTACGGTTTCAAAATGCCCTATCACCATTCATGTAACATATATTTACTATATGAACCCGGGCAGAGAAGGGCCATTTCACATGTACACATAAAAAACACCAATTTGCAGTGATGCATGAGTGTCTTATGTTTGATGAAACTCATGTTAACACATTTACAGGAAAATTATTGTATAAAAGCATGTCATTGCCAAAATATTGCACCATACTCCAAACCTTCCACAACAAATAGCTAATGAATAACCTAAATAAACAACAATTTAGATTTGCAAAACAAGAGCATCAAAAAGTCAAGGAAAACATAATAGCCTACAGATGTAACAGTAACAAAATATCATAAAAATCTGTTCTCTGACAATATAAAAATTAAAGTAGAAAGCAATAACAGATATCTGGAAAATACCCAAATATGTGGAAAATAAACAGTATACATCTATGTAAACCACAGGTCAAAGAGGAAGTCTCAAGGGAAATGACAGAAAATTTTTAATTAAGTGAAAATAAAAATGTAACATATAAAACTTGTGGGATGCAGCCAAGGTGGTAGAGAGAGAAATTTTGTAGCAATAAATGCATATATGAGAAAAGAACAAAGGTCTCAGCTCAGTAACTTAAGATTCCATTGTATGAAACAAACAAAAAAGGAGCAAATTAAATCCAGTGATACTGAAGGAAATAAAAGCAGAATTCATTGAAATTGGAAAAAAAGAGAAAAATCAATGAAACCAAAACCTGGTTTCATGAAAAAATAAAGTTGAGAAAACTAACCAGAGTGACCAAGAAAGATGGCACAAATTACCATTAACAGGAAAGAAAGCAGCGTCACCATAAGCCCCCCACACATAAAAAAACTTCTAGGAGAATATTATGAACAACTTGATGCCCTTAAACTGGACAACTTAGATGAAACAGGACAAATTCCTTGAAAACAAAGCTCACTCACGAAGAAATAGTAACATAACCTGAACAGGCTTGTATCTGTTAAAGGGGTAGAACTCAGTTAAAAACCTTCCAGTAAGTAAAACTCCAGACCAAGATGTTTTCACTGCTGAATTTTACCAAAGGAAGAAATATTACTGTGGTGTAATGGGCTCCTTTATGTGGCCTTTTGCCCTGGTTCTTTGGAAAAACAACTTAGGAGATTTTTCCCTAAATCCTGAGGAGTTGTTACTTTTGCCCTAGTTCTTTGGAGAAGCTGGGGGACCTCCTAGGGTGTTTTCTACCACAGGCTTGTTACTTTAGCCAAAGGGAGGAGTCAGTCTTTGCCCACAGAAAAGGGACTTTTGTTGATTGACATCTTACGGGTAATTGTGGATTGGTTGAACTCTGGGCTGGTGAGGGAGGCCCTGCCTCATAACTGATGAGGACTGGGATAAACAGCTGAAATGCAGAGGTTCTGACGGCCTGCTGGTTGACAGAAGCTAGGAGGGGCACATCCTTTGGGATATGGACGCCCCTCTCAGGCTGATAAAAAAAGATGCAGCTGAGAGAGCTGCGGGATAAGACCAGGGCTAGCAGAGAAGCAGAGACATGTGGGAGCAGAGTGGTCCCAAAGCTACACTATGAACTGGGCTAGTTAGCAGCAGAGCAGCCAATGGTGAAGAAGCCCGACAGCAGAGAGGCTCTATGGCAGACAGCTGCTGCTAGGAGAACAGCAACTGAAAGAGCTGAGTGAGGTGCTATAATGACTATGAGCTGGGCCTGTTAGCGGCAGAGAGGCCTGATGGCAGAGAGCAGCTGAGAGAGCTGTCCTGGTCAGAAGCTGTCCTGCACTAAAAAGGGAGGGATGTGTTCTCCACTTCTGGGACCCTTCCAGACCTTAGCACGCTCTAGGCTCTTACCTCAAATTGTCTGAAACATTAACTTAAAATAGGAAGGAAGCAGCTGTGCTCAACAGGACACCACAGAGATTGAAATGGATCCCAAAGCGAAGAGTTACATACTGTCAGGGCAAACTGACCTGGCAATGCCCAGGGGAGGGGTGGGGCACCCTCCAGGTCCCACTGCTACCTTGACTCCAGCCTCACCCCAGCTGGCTCCCTGCACCATCCTGGCCTCTACCCGAGCCTCACCCATTGCCAGCCCTGGCACTTGTCCCACCTTGGCCCGCTGTGCAGGCATAGTTTTCCAAACACCCTTAGAGGATTGGGCACACTCAGTGAGAGTCTCTGTCTTATTAAAACTGGAGCTTTGTGGTCCCCCAGGTGCTGGTCCTCCACACTAGGGGTCTGAGGGCCGCTCTGGTCAACAATAAGTTCCCATACCCACTTGTCTCTCATGGTTGAGTCCTTGAGATGTTCTGAGAAGCACTGCTCCAATGACGGGGTCTGCATCCAATTCCGGTTAAAACTGCTGAGGCCGTCCTATCCCCAACCTTTCTGCCTTTGATCCATGCAGACACCACCTGTCACGTCATTTTTCCTATTTAAAACCCTTCACTGATTCCCATACCCTTCCCCCGCCCCACCCAAACCACACCAGGTAAAATTCTCACTTGGCACATGGGTTCAAGTCTATTGCCCCCCCTCCGCCCCCCTAGGCTCATTTCCAAGATTCCAGTATGAGATTTGAAGGGTAGCAACAGATCTCCTGCCTCCACATTTGATTTCAGTGCATCACCTTGTACCATTCGAGTTCTTTCATTGAACTAAACAGTTAAAGGGACGCCATTCATGTTTATACAGAACCTACTTTGTACCTGTCATTCCCTTATGTGCATTTTCACATCACAAAACCTTCAGAAAAGCCTTTAGATGTACGTACCCACCAACATTTTCACCACAGTAACATACAGAAGAAGAAATGCAAATTAAACATATAAACTGGGTTAAAATGTGTGGAGGAAAAAAACAGTAAGGAGAAATTTAAGAAAATTCTGTTTACTATAGTTGAAAAAGAATCATGTTAACATTTTGTTTAACATCATAATCTCAAATTGATATTTTTAAAATCTTAGAAAATTTGCTCAAAATTATTAAATCATATTTATTGCCTGATAAGCACTTTCACACATTTTCATGCAACTAATGTAAAAATATTAGGCATTTTATCTAGATTCCACAAGCATTTTCAAAAATCATACTGTGCAAAAGGTCCTATGTTTGCAGCAGGAAAGGGCATGTAGGAAGATACTGAAAACCAGTTGCCAGTGAGTCAATTCCAACTCATGGTGACCCTATGTGTTTCAGAGTAGAACTGTGCTCCATACGGTTTTCAATGGCTGTGACCTTTTAAAAGCAGATTGCCAGGATTTTCTTCCACGGTGCCTCTGGGTGGATTCGAATTGCTGACCTTTCAGATAGTAGTCAAGTGCTTAAACATTTATGTCACCCAGGGAATCCTAGCAAGATATTAGCATGAAGGAAATTGTGGAGCTTCCAGAGCAAATATTCAGTATTGTATTACAGAATTGGACTCCACTTTTTGGTTTTTGACTACTGAAAGCTTTTAAGGCTAAGGCTCAGCCTCTTCCTCTTCTCTTTCTGCCCCAATTGGGGCAAGCTGATAAAAAAGCTGAAGTGCTCCCTCCCTTTTGGTGCTAGTGGGAAGTTCAAACCACACACAGGACTCTCACCCGAGCCCCACCTCCTACCACAGAAACACAAGCCAGTCTCGTATCCCTGATCTCTCCAGCCATTTCATACCTGCTTGTGAAGCCTGCCCAGCTCTCATTATGTAATAAGCATTCTCACACCCGTCTGGTATGTGGCATCACCATTCTTAACATCCAAAACAAACTTTGGATGGAGGTCCATCCTGTCTCTCGAGTGGTGACAAGTGCAAATTAAAGTTTTGGGGGAGTGAACATATGATGTTCCTAGTTTATCCACATTGAGTATGCTCATTCTTAACGGAAATTCATGAATATTCATCTCTTCAAATGATTCCAGTGAGGACTCGAAGCAGGGGGAAAGGTTATTATTCCTTACAAAGGAGAGGGAGACCATAATTTCTCCTCCATTATTTCTACCACATTAGCAGTCCCTAGTAAACTATCATTCTGTTGCCATGAAAATCTGTCTCTCAAGTCTCTCTTGACCTGCTCTCTTTCTTGGTCACCTGGTAGAGCAATCATTTCCTATAATTAACAGTGACCCTCTTTTGTACCAACAAATCTGGAGAGACCTGAACACATTTGTGATAGTTTAGAACATAGTTTTGTGTCTATCCTCAAGCTCTCTCCAATGTCTTATTCATATTTTCACCATTATCTTAAATTCAGTGTCCTTATCAACCCCTTCCCAGAGACCATCACATTGACACATGAAAGATCTGTGATAAAGGTTTCAGACCTCAGGCTGAAAGTCATCAAAAGTGTGCTTTTGATATCTATCATCTCGTAAATTTTAAATGATTCTGACTTTTAATTACACTGCAGCATTTCACACCTAAGGTTGATTAAAGGAGCCCTGGTGGTGCAATAGTTAAGTGCTCAGCTGCTTACTGAAAGGTTGGTGGCTTGAACCAATCCAGCCTCTCCGTGGAAGACAGACCTGGTGATCTGCTTCTATAAAGATTATAACCTTGAAAACCCTATAGGGCAGTTCTTCTCTGTCATATGGGATTGCTATGAGTTGGAAATTGACCTGATGGCACCTAACAACAAAAAGGTTTTTAATCTTTAAGGACTAGAAGCTTAGTTCCTTATAATATGACATCTCTGATACGTAATCCATTGTGAAAACTAACTAAATGATTTATGACATCATTATATTTGAAGGGTTCCGCTCCAGTATTTATTCTCTCATGCATCCAATGGTGTGAACATTTGATAAAAAACAAAACCTATCACATTCATTTGTAAGGTTTCTCCCCAGTAGGAATTTTCTCATGATCCCCAAGGCTTGAGTTTTCGATAGAAGCACTGACACACATATTAGATTTACATTGTTCATTTTCAGCATGCATTTTCTGATGTCTAGTAAGGTTTGCAAAATGGGTAAAGGTTTTGTTACATTCATTACATTTGTAAGGTTTTTCTGCAGTATGGCTTCTCTTATGATTAGTAAGGCTTGAAAGCACAGTAAAGGATTTGCCACACTCATGACATTTGTAAGTTTTCTCTTTACTATGAATTGTATGATCGTCGAGGTTTGAACTTTGAATAAAAGCATTCACAGATGTATTAGATTTACAATGCTCCTTTTTAGTATGTATCTTCTGATGTCTAATAAGGTTTGAAAAATGGGTAAACGCTTTGCCACATTCATTACATTTGTAAGGTTCCTCCCCAGTATGAATTCTCCTATGATTAGTAAGGCTTGAACGCACGGTAAAGGCTCTGTCACACTCATTGCATTTGTAAGGTTTCTCTCCAGTGTGAATTCTTTGGTGAATCCTGAGGTCAGACCGTTGCCTAAAAGCCTTACCACATTCAATACACTTGTACGGTTTCTCACCAGTGTGAATTTTCTCATGATCCCAGAGGTATGAACGACTGATAAAAGCCCTACCACATTGATTACATTTATAAAGATTCTCTTCATTATGGAGTCTCTGATGTCGAGTAAGGCATGAATGGACAGTAAAGGCTTTACCACACTCATTACATTTGTAAGGTTTCTCTCCAGTATGAATTCTCTCATGACCCAGAAGTTGTGAACGTCTGATAAAAGCCTTACCACACTCATGACATTTATAAGGTCTTTCTCCAGTATGAATTCGCAGGTGACTCCTAAGGTTTGAATTCTGAATGAAGACCTTGCCACATACATTACATTTATATGGTTTCTCTCCAGTATGGATTCTCTTATGTTTAATGAAGTTTGAGAAGTAATTAAAGGCTTTGCCACACTCATTACATTTGTGAGTTCTCAGTCCAGAATGAACTTTCTGATGTTTACTGACGATTGAGCTTTGGTTGAAAGCCTTCCCATCTTCAATACATTCATAAAGTTTTCCTGTAATATGTGTTTTCTGGTGTTGTGTAAGCAATGAGGGATCCTTAAAAACCTTCCCACATTTATTACAAATGTTGAAATTGACACCAGGAGGAATTCTTTGAAGTGGTGAAACTGGGCAACCATTGATAGATTTCTCAATTTGACTGCATCCATAAATTTTCTCTGCAGTTTGAAATCTCTGCAGTTCATTCAGATCTGATTGAAAGGCTAATCCAATCTTATTTTCAAAACATTTCATATTCTTGTCTTCTCTGTAGCTTATGTTATTTTCTAGTTTTAATAAATCCCTCACAAACAGATTCTCATATTTACAATATTGATACACATTTTTTCTTACAGAAACACACTGCTTTAGAAGAAAATTATTCCAGGGTATGTCATGCTGTTGGTCTTCTCTACCAGTGAGACTGCTGTTATGTGATTTAGTCACTCCTCTATAATTTCTTTCACAATATCTGCAATGACTCTCAAATTCATGCATACTTCCCAGGGTTTTTCTGAAGTCAAAATTCTCTAGACTATGACTTACACGTCTTTCCAACATCACTGTTCGGAATAATTCTCCTTTAATAATGTTCTCATCTGGTGATAATTCCTGGAGCATGCATCTAGAAGAGATATCTGAAAGATATAAAAAACCACAGGCTTACTATTAACTAAAGCTGAAAAACAAGTAACTTATATTGAGAAATATATTACATCAGAAGTAATATTTATCATGAACAGAGTAATGAAACTTATCAATCACGATGCTCAAATGTTTAGGAATGCAAAGGCAACAAGATTCCTCAGTAAAAAAAGGGTGATTACATGTAATTCAAATTATTTACAGGGAAGCCTCATTTCAAACACTATGACCAATCCCTCACACTATAAATATAAGTACTAAAAGAAGGGATATTCTACTACCATTCCAAAGCTGAAGTCAATTATCAATTTTTCTCCTCTTCCAAGGCCAGGATTTTAACTACTGTTATGGATTGAAATGTGTCCCCCTAAAATTCATGTTGTATAATCACATTTGGGAATGGGTTTTCTTAGTTATGTTAATGAGGCAGTATCAGATTAGGGCATCTCTTGAGCCGATCCCTTTTGAGATATAAAAGAGCAGATTAAACAAGGAAGCACAAGATAGATGCTATGCCACATGAAGACCACAAGGAACAAGGACCTTCCCCAGAGCCGACAGACAGAAAGCCTTCCCCTAGAACTGGTGCCCTGAATTTGGACTTCTAGACTCTTAAACTGTGAGAAAATAAATTTCTGTTTGTTGAGCCACATATTTTGGTATTTCTGTTGTAGCTGCACTAAAATTAAGACAACTACTCTACCAAAATCATACTCCTATAAAGTTGCAAGCATAATTTTTCAGATAAAAAGGATAGGCCCACAGATTTATATACATACTGCTAATTAACAGAGAAAGTAAATTCTACAGCCAGAGATTGAACCTGAACCTGTTACTTCAGACAACATATACTGCAGCACTAGACACCACTGCCTACCCAGGTAGTAGAGATGACAACAGGTCACAGTATATCCCATGGTCGTAGGAAGAAATGCTTCAAAAGAGATACAAGACTTGAGCTATGTCAATCCAAACCCATTGCTGTCGAGTTGATTATGACTCATAGCAGCCCGATGTGACAGAGTAGAACTGCCCCGTACAATTTCTAGGCTATATTGTGCTTTAAGTGAAAGTTTACAGTTTTAGTTTTTCATACAAAAATTTATACACACATTGTTATGTGACCCTAGTTGCTCTCCCTATAATGTGACAGCACACTCCTCCTTTCCACCCTGGATTTCCCATGTCCATTCAACCAGCTCCTGTCCCTTTTTGCCTTCTCATCTCACCTCCGGACAGGAGCTGCCCATTTAGTCTTATGTACTGACTTGAACTAAGAAGCACTCTTCACAAGTATTCTGTCTTACAGTTCAGTCTAATCTTTGTCTGAAGAGATGGCTTTGGGAATGGTTTCAGTTCTAGGCTAACAGAAAGTCCAAGGGCCCTGTCTTCTGGGGTCCCTCCAGTCTCAGTCAGACCATTAAGTCTGGTCTTTTTACTAGAATGAGTTCTGCAGCCCACTTTTTGCCTGTGCTGTCAGGGACTCTGTTGTGTTCCCGGTCAGGGAGCTCATTGATGGTAGATGGGCACCAACTAGTACTTCTGGTCTCAGGATATGAGTCTCTGGTTTATGTGGCCCTTTCTGTCTCTTGGGCTAATATTTTCCTTGTTTGTCTTTGATGTTCTTCATTCTCCTTTGCTCCAGGTGGGTTGGGAAAAATTGATGCATCTTAGATGGCTGCTCCCTAACTTTTAAGACCCCAGACGCCACTCATCAAAGTGGATGCAGAACATTTTTTAATAAACTTTGTTATGCCAATTGACCTAGATGTCCCCTGAAAGCATGGTCCCCAGACCCTCACCCCTGCTACTCTGTCCCTCAAAGTGTTTGGTTGTATTCAGGAAACTTCTTAGCTTTTGGTTTAGTCCAGCTGTGCTGACTTCCCCTGTATTGTGTGTTGTCCTTCCCTTCACCTAAGATAATTCTTGTCTACTATCTAGTTAGCGAATACTCCTCTCCCTCCCTCCCTACCCTCTTAACCATCAAAGAATGATTTTTTCTGTGTTTAAACCTTTTCTTGAGTTCTTATAATAGTGGTCTCATACTATTTGTCCTTTTGTGACTAATTTCACTCAGCACAATGCCTTCCAGATTCATCCATGTTGAGATGTTTCGTGGATTCATCCTTGTCCTTTATCGTTGCATAGTATATCACTGTGTGAATATACCATAATTTGTTTATCCATTCATTTGCTGATGGGCACCTAGGTAGTTTCCATCTTTTTGCTATTGTGAACAGTGCTACAATGAACATGGGTGTGCATGTATCTATTCTTGTGATGACTCTTATTTCTGTAGGATATATTCCTAGGAGTGGGATTACTGGATCATATGGTACTTCTATTTCTAGCTATTTAAGGAAGCGCCAAATCGATTTCCAAAGTGGTTGTACCATTTTATATTCCCACTAACAGTGTGTAAGTGTTCCAGTCTCTCCACAACCTCTCTTAACATTTATTATTTTGTGTTTTTTGGATTAATGCTAGCCTTGTTGGGGTGAGATGGTATCTCATTCTAGTTTTGATTTGCATTTCTCTAATGGCTAATGTTCGTGAGCATTTCCTCACGTATGTGTTAGCTGCCTAAACGTCTTCTTTGCTGAAACACCTATTCATACCTTTTGCCTATTTCTGAACTGGTTGTCTTTTTGTTGTTGAGGTTTCGCAGTATCTTGTAGATTTTAGAGATTACACACTGATTGGATTTGTCATAGCCAAAATTTTTTCCCTAGTCTGTAGGCTGTCTTTTTACTCTTTTGGTGAAGTCTTTTGATGAGCATAATTGCTTGCTTTTCAGAAGCTCCCAGTTATCTAGTTTCTCTTCTGGTGTTTCTGCATTGTTAGTAATGTTTTGTATTCTGTTTATGCCAAGTATTAGGGCTCCAAGCATTGTCCCTATTTTTTCTTCCATAATATTTATCATTTTAGGTTTTATATTTAGGTCTTTGATTCATTTTGAGTTAGTTTTTGTGCATGGTGTGAGGTATGGGTCCTGTTCCATTTTTTTTGCACATGGATATCCAGTTATGCCAGCACCATTTGTTAAAGAGACTTTTCCCCATTTAATGGACTTTGGGCCTTTGTCAAATATCAGCTGCTAATAGGTGGATGAATTTACATCTGGATTATCAATTCTCTTGCATTGGTCTATACATCTTTGTTGTACCAGTACCAGGCTGTTCTGACTACCGCAGCAGTACAATAGGTTCTAAAATAAGGTAGTTTGAGGCCTCGTACTTTGTTCTTCTTCTTCAGTAATGCTTTACTTATCTGGGGCCACTTCCCTTTCCCTGTGAAGTTGGTGATTTCTTTCTCCATCTCACTAAAAAATGCCATTGGAATTTGGATCAGGATTGCACTGTATCTGTAGATTGCTTTGAGAATAGACACTTCCACAATGTTGAGTCTTCCTATCCATGAGTAAGGTATGTTTTTCCACTTATGTAGATCTATTTTGGTTTCTTGCAGTAGTGTCTTGTAGTTTTCTTTGTATAGGTCTTTTACATCTCTGGTTAGATTTATTCCTAAGTATTTTATCTTCTTGGGGGCTATTGTAAATAGTCTCGATTTGGTGATTCCCTCTTTCAAGTTCTCCTTGTTGGTGTAGAGGAATCCAACTGATTTTTGTATGTTTATCTTGTATGCTGACACTTTGCTGAAATCTTCTATTAGTTCCAGTAGTTTTTCTGGATTCTCTGGGGGTTTCTGTGTATAAGATCATATCACCTGCAAATAGAGATACTTTGACTTCTTCCCTACCAGTTTGGATGCCCTTTATTCCTTTTTTCTAACATAACTGCTATGGCTAGGACCTCTAGCACAATGTTGAATAAGAGTGTTGATAACGGGCATCCTTGTCTGGTTCCCGTTCTCAAAAGGAATGCTTTCAGACTCTCTCCATTTAGGATGATGTTGGCTGTTGCCTTTGTACCTTTTCAATCTCTTCTTTTGTTATAGGTTTATTTATTTGTTCTTCCTCTGTGTTATTTTAGGTAGGTAGTGTGTTTCTAGAAATTTGTACATTTCGAATAGGTTTTCAAATTTCTTAGAGTACAATTTTTCATAGTATTCTGTTATGATTCTTTTAATTTCAGTTGAATCTGTTGTGATATCGCCCATCTCATTTTTTTAAATAATTTTTTTTGTACTTTAGATGAAGTTTCCAAAATAGTTTCTCATTAAACAGTTAGTACACACATTGCCCTATGACAGTGACAACCCCACAACATGTCAACACTGTCCTTTCTCAACCTTAGGTTCCCTATCACCAGCTCTTCTGTCCCCACCTGCCTTCTAGTCATTGTCACTGGACTGCTGTGCCTCATTAGTCCCGTTTTGTTTTATGGGGCTCTCCAATCCTCGGCTGAACAGTGAACCTCAGAAGCAACTTCACACTGAGCTAAAAGGGTGTCTGGAGGCCATACTCTCAGGGTTTCTCCAGTCTCTGTCAGGCCAGTAAATCTGGTCTTTTTTTTCTGTGTTAGAATTTTGTTTTACATCGTTTTCAGCTATGTCCAGGACCCTCTGTTGTGATCCCGTGGTGGTAGCCAGGCACCATCTAGATGTACTGGAGTCAGTCTGGTGGAGGCTGTGGTAGCTGTGGTCCATTAGTCCGTCAGACTAATCTTTCCCTTGTATCCTGTTCTCTTCGTTATCCCTTGCTTCAGAAGGGGTGAGACCAGTGAAGTATCTTAGATGGCTGCTCAAAGGCTTTTAAGACCCAAGATGCTACTCACCAAGGGAGAATGCAGCACATTGTCTTTATAAACTGTGTTATGCCAATTGAGCTAGATGTTCCCCAAGAGCATGGTCCCCACAGCCCTCCATCCAGCAATTCAGTCCCTCAGAGAGTTTGTATGTATCTGTGGAGCTTCCATGACCTTTCCTTGTATGAGCGGTACTGGCTTCCCCAGTGTGTACTGTCTAACCCTTCACCAAAGTTACCACTTATCTATTGTCTGTTGAGTATTTCACCCCAACCTTTCCCATCGCT